CATGTGTGTGTGTGTGTGTGTTTTCTCTCAGCCTCATGTGAGTGTGTGTGTGTGTTTCTCTCAGGCCTCATGTGTGTGTGTGTGTGTGTGTGTTTCTCTCAGCCTCATGTGTGTGTGTGTGTGTGTGTGTTTCTCTCAGCCTCATGTGAGTGTGTGTGTGTGTGTTTTCTCTCAGCCTCATGTTGTGTGTGTGTGTGTGTGTTTCTCTCAGCCTCATGTGAGTGTGTGTGTGTGTGTGTGTCGTGTGTGTTTCTCTCAGCCTCATGTGAGTGTGTGTGTGTGTGTGTTCTCTCAGCCTCATGTGAGTGTGTGTGTGTGTGTGTTTCTCTCAGCCTCATGTGTGTGTGTGTGTGTGTGTGTGTTTCTCTCAGCCTCATGTGAGTGTGTGTGTGTGTGTGTTTCTCTCAGCCTCATGTGTGTGTGTGTGTGTGTGTGTTTCTCTCAGCCTCATGTGAGTGTGTGTGTGTGTTTCTCTCAGCCTCATGTGTGTGTGTGTGTGTGTGTGTTTCTCTCAGCCTCATGTGAGTGTGTGTGTGTGTGTGTGTTTCTCTCAGCCTCATGTGTGTGTGTGTGTGTGTGTTTCTCTCAGCCTCATGTGTGTGTGTGTGTGTGTTTTCTCTCAGCCTCATGTGTGTGAGTGTGTGTGTTTCTCTCAGCCTCATGTGAGTGTGTGTGTGTTCTGTGTGTGTGTGTGTGTTTCTCTCAGCCTCATGTGAGTGTGTGTGTGTGTTTCTCTCAGCCTCATGTGAGTGAGTGTGTGTGTGTGTTTCTCTCAGCCTCATGTGTGTGTGTGTGTGTGTGTTTCTCTCAGCCTCATGTGTGTGTGTGTGTGTGTGTGTTTCTCTCAGCCTCATGTGAGTGTGTGTGTGTGTTTCTCTCAGCCTCATGTGAGTGTGTGTGTGTGTTTCTCTCAGCCTCATGTGAGTGTGTGTGTGTGTTTCTCTCAGCCTCATGTGAGTGTGTGTGTGTGTTTCTCTCAGCCTCATGTGAGTGTGTGTGTGTTTCTCTCAGCCTCATTGAGTGTGTGTGTGTGTTTCTCTCAGCCTCATGTGAGTGAGTGTGTGTGTGTGTTTCTCTCAGCCTCATGTGAGTGAGTGTGTGTGTGTGTTTCTCTCAGCCTCATGTGTGTGTGTTTCTCTCAGCCTCATGTGAGTGTGTGTGTGTGTTTCTCTCAGCCTCATGTGAGTGAGTGTGTGTTGTGTGTTTCTCTCAGCCTCGGGCTCCATGGACGCGTGTGTCATGATCTGGAACATGAAGCCTCAGGCGAGGCCTACAGGTTTGTGGGACACAAGGATGCGGTGACGAGTGTTGAGTTCTCTCCCTCCGGTCATCTACTGGCCTCAGCCTCCCGAGACAAGACGGTGCGGCTCTGGGTGCCCAGCGTGTGAGTCTCAATCTGAATATGATCTCAATATATCTCAATATATCTCAATATATCTGAATATGATCCCAATATATCTCAACATAATCTCAATATAATCTCAGTATAATCCCAATATATCTCAACATAATCTCAATATAATCTCAATATAATCCCAATATATCTCAATATAATCTCAGTATAATCCAATATATCTCAATATATCTCAATATGATCTCAATATAATCTCAAGAATTACTGGCGTCCCAGAGTCAGCCCCCCCCCCCCCCCCCCCACCCCTCCGTCCCCCACTCAACTCAGCCCAGCTTACTGACCTCTACATCCCTCCTGCTGCTGAGACCTAACCACAATCTCTCCGCAACCCGACCATACGCGCCAACCGTTGACTAAGGCTGTCGAGCCCCACTGGTGCGTTAATATGCAGTTTCAGTGGACAACGGTTCCGTTATGGCATACTACCTACCGCAACACAATATCTGCCCAACCACCCGTCATTCACGCAATATACACAGGAACGTAATGACTGCAAATACTATACAAACTATACAAATAAACCAACAGACTCTTCAAGTTTTCAAGAACTCTTCTAAACCGTAGCGTGGCTCCTGTACACAGCCAGCTAGAATCTTTCCGCCTCGACCACAGCCAGTTGCTGCTCCTTTTCTGCTGCTTCAGATCAGTTCTTTACTGTGCGACGCAACTCTTGGCCGCTGAATCCGACGTCTCTGAGGAACCGGGTTGTAGAGTGTGCCACAAAACCTCGACAACCCACTTCCACTGGATAAACCTGGACTCTCCATCCTCGCTGTTCTGCTTCAGTGGCCAGATGAGCATACCGCAGTTTCTTCCTCTCATATGCCTCATCTACGGCATCCTCCCATGGCACTGTTAACTCTATCAGTTGAACAATGCGTGCTGATCCAGACCACAAAACAATATCTGGTCGTAGGTTAGTGGTGGCAACCTCAGGTGGAAAAATAAGCCGTTGGTCAAGATCAGCCAGCATCTTCCAGTCCCTAGCAGCTTCCAGTTGTCCTGGGCGAGAATTGGTGTTAACACCTTTTCTTGGTGGTTGCTCGCCTGGCCTGAGGAATATTGTCTTCTGCGTGTAATGTCTTGCTAGAACAGGCGGCAACTTATTGGTCATGTTACGCTTGCCTTCTAATGCTAAAGCCAAACATCGCAGTACTTGGTCATGGCGCCAAGTAAACCGACCTTGGCTAAGAGCCACCTTACATCCTGTCAAAAGTGCCTATATATAATATATAATATAATTTCAATATAATCTCAATATAATCCCAATATATCTCAACATAATCTCAATATAATCCCAATATATCTCAATATAATCTCAGTATAATCCCAATATATCTCAACATAATCTCAATATAATCTCAATATAATCTCAACATAATCTCAATATAATCCCAATATATCTCAACATAATCTCAACATAATCTCAATATATCTCAACATAATCTCAATATAATCTCAATATATCTCAACATAATCTCAACATAATCTCAATATAATCTCAAACATAATCTCAATATAATCTCAATATATCTCAATATAATCTCAGTATAATCCCAATATATCTCAACATAATCTCAATATAATCTCAGTATAATCCCATATATCTCAACATAATCTCAATATAATCTCAGTATAATCCCAATATATCTCAACATAATCTCAATATAATCTCAATATAATCCCAATATATCTCAATATAATCTCAGTATAATCCCAATATATCTCAACATATCTCAAATATCAATATATCCCAATATATCTCAACATAATCTCAACATAATCTCAACATAATCTTCAACATAATCTCAATATAATCCCAATATATCTCAACATAATCTCATATACCCTCCGGTCCAACCCATGATCCAATATGTTCATGTCAACAGGCAAAAAGTCTATTAATAATGTCAAATCTGTCTGGTGCTGAAGTCTGTTCTCAGACAGGTTTCCTGAAGTGTCAGACAGTCTCGTCTAGGGAGGGGCATTTTACAGAAATATGGTATTCGGATATTCGTTTATTTCGTTATTATTCAGTGGTTTCTCTGAATCCTGCAGGGCTGGACTGAATCATGTAGTGCGTGCGTGGTGTGTGTGTGTGTGTGTGTGTGTGTGTGTGCGTGCCTCAAACATGCGTATGTCTCGCCTTTAAACACGTTTAGTTTCCTGTTGTAGTTTCATGGCATTTCCACACGAGTCCCTGTAATGTTTAGATTATACGGATCATCTTTATGAGGCTCATATGCTCTTCAAGCCTTCTGTTCTGCCAGTGACTAATGCTCCCATAAGCCTCCTCCCTCAGCCGTGAGATGTGCATGTGGGTGTTGGGACAGAAATAACTGATAATGATCATGTTGTCTGAGTCTCATCATCTGTCTGATGCTTTACACTGAGATCCGCCTCCAGAAACACTGGAGATCTGGACCAGATCTGAAGATCATCTTGAGCTCCTTATTTATTAAACACAACAGTTTTCATAATGAGTAACATGAGCTAATTTCATTAGTTCCCTAGACAATCTCATTATGTATCTTTTGTGACATTATAAATGTCTTTAATGTCACTTGTTGATCAGTTTAATGCGTCCTTGATGAATACAAACAATCTTAGCCCAGAGTTTTGAATGATAGTGTTTTGATATATTAATCAAAAGCTAATAGACATTGGGAAACCGAAGAAAGCTTCTTTATAGAAGGAAAACTATAGGAAGCGTGTGTTTGATGTGATGTGTGTGTGTGTGTGTGTGTGTCAGTCCTCTGTGTTCAGGGCTCATACAGGAGTGTGTGTGTGTGTGTGTTGTGTTCAGGAAAGGTGAGTCCTCTGTGTTCAGGGCTCATACAGGAGTGTGTGTGTGTGTGTGTGTGTGTTGTGTGTGTTGTGTTCAGGAAAGGTGAGTCCTCAGTGTTCAGGGCTCATACAGGAGTGTGTGTGTGTGTGTGTTGTGTTCAGGAAAGGTGAGTCCTCTGTGTTCAGGGCTCATACAGGAGTGTGTGTGTGTGTGTGTTGTGTTCAGGAAAGGTGAGTCCTCTGTGTTCAGGCTCATACAGGAGTGTGTGTGTGTGTGTGTGTGTGTTGTTGTGTTCAGGAAAGGTGAGTCCTCAGTGTTCAGGGCTCATACAGGAGTGTGTGTGTGTGTGTGTGTGTGTGTGTGTGTGTTGTGTTCAGGAAGGTGAGTCCTCAGTGTTCGGGGCTCAAACAGGAGTGTGTGTGTGTGTGTGTGTGTTGTGTTCAGGAAAGGCGAGTCCTCAGTGTTCAGGGCTCATACAGGAGTGTGTGTGTGTGTGTGTGTGTGTGTGTGTTGTGTTCAGGAAAGGTGAGTCCTCAGTGTTCAGGGCTCATACAGGAGTGTGTGTGTGTGTGTGTGTGTGTTGTGTTCAGGAAAGGTGAGTCCTCAGTGTTCGGGGCTCATACAGGAGTGTGTGTGTGAGTGTGTGTGTGTTGTGTTCAGGAAAGGTGAGTCCTCAGTGTTCAGGCTCATACAGGAGTGTGTGTGTGTGTGTGTGTGTGTGTGTGTGTGTTGTGTTCAGGAAAGGTGAGTCCTCAGTGTTCAGGGCTCATACAGGAGTGTGTGTGTGTGTGTGTGTGT